TTTTGTTTAGTTCTTTGAGTATGTATTTTGCATGTAACTAAATTTGTCTGTCTTGTATACTGAATATTTTGTATCCAAAGTCTGCATGTATTCCACTGTTTATGGTTGTAATTGGAAGCTTGTTTTTGTATTTGAATGTTGCTTGTATCATACAGTCCATTTTCTTGCAGTTTTGTTCTGAGAGAATCATATTTTGTAGCAGATATTTTACTGTTGGAAAGAGGATATGGTTGATAATATATCTATACTGTTTATCTGTAATTTGGTTTCTGTTAAATATTTTTGTTATAGATTATACTTTGTGCTTGATGAGATCTATCTAATAAGATTTGTTTCATATGGCTTTAATCCACACCCCAAGGATTCTAATGACTTCTTGTTTTTTCTTGGGTTATATTTTAAACCTTTCTATTTTGATTGCTTTATTTTTGATTGGATTAATAGTAATGAGTACTGCTTTCTCTGGATTTATTGTGAGACTGGCAATTTTTGCGAAACTTTCTACTATTTGAACAATTTTTTGCATGTTTTTTTGATTGTTAGTGATCCAGCATATATCATCCATATATGTGATTGATGTTACTTTGTCAATAATTAATTTTCACCTGTCTTGTTTTTTGCTTGATGTCTTGGTTTCAAATTTGTATCTGAATTCTGATGCTTCTATTTTGCAGATCAAAAAGTCATAGTATATTCTCCACCAGAGGGGTAATAAAGTATCCCCTTGGTTGATTCCTATCTTTGATGTAAAAGGATTAGTTAAACCGTGGCATGTAATAACTTGGTTTTTTTGGTCCTCTAGTAGATTCATTACAATGTTTGTAATATTGCTAGATATTTTAATTTTTTAAGTACTTTTTCTAGGAGGTTATGCTGCATCGAATCATAAGCTTTGCTGATGTCTTGACTTAGGAGCCAGCATTCCTTTTTCTCTTTCCTGGCTTCTTCCAATATATTGTTTATTATACTTATTGGTTCTTGTATATCTTCCTTTAGGAGTCCTGCCCAGTTTTGATCTGATAATATTTTGTGTTTCATGAAGGTTTGTGCAAGTTTGCTGTTGATTATTTTTGTAAAAACTTTTTTAATTATTTCCAACAAAATAATTGATCTGGTGAAGTTAAGTTAATATTGCCAGTTAATTTCTTTGGAATGAGATATATAATGTTTTGCTTCCATTTTTTTGATATTTCTCCTGTAAGCATTATCTTGTTGAATAATTGGATTATTTAGAGAAGTGCTTGTTCTCCTAGGTTTTTGAACATGGGATAGCTGATTCCTGATTTTTTTGATACTGAGTTATTAGCCATTTTCTTTATTATAGCACAAACTTCTAATGGTTCGATAATGAAAATTGCCTGTTGGTTTCAATCTTCTATGATTTCTGTTTTTGGTCTGTACTCTTGTTCCCATGTTTTTCATTTTGGCTATCTTGTACTTTCAGTTATTGCCTCATCTATTTGAAAGTATTGCTTCACTAGATTTATTATTTCTCTTGGTTCTGTAGTAACTGTAAGTTCTGGCTTTTTGATAATGATTTTGTTCATTGTAATGTGATTGAAAGTTCTGTTCAGAATGGAGTTTATTATCTTTTATTTGTTATCTGAGAAGTTTGTGATTCGATTTTCTGTATGTTTTTTAATGCTCTTGGCTGTGGTATGGTGATCTTTCTCCTTTAACACTTTTTTGATAATACTATATGTTTGTTTGATTCCTTTTATTCATGTCTTGACTTTTTCTGATTGTAAGTCTGTTTCTTCCCAGGGTGATATTCCAATATGCTGTTCTTATGTATTGATTTTTCTAATTATGTTTGTAATGTTGTTCTGGATGTTGCTCATTATTAGTTTAAGATAAAGAATTTTTTAGACCAAGTGTTGAGCTTTCTAAGTTCAGTAATTTGTGTATGCATATTGTGTTTGTGGTGAAAGTTAAGGTCTATACATTTTCAATGTTTCTTCCTCTTCTTAATGTTTTGGTGTACTGCCTTGCAGATTGTATCCCATGTGAGATTCCATGTCTTGTTAGCTGTGTATCCCTTTATATTGTGTTTTTTGTTCTGTTCTATGATAGTATTTCTATCTGTTATTTATATTTGTTCCATTGTTTGCTATTGATATTTTTAGTATCGAAGATATTATTGTGTTTGGGAGTTTTGATCTTCTGTTGTTGTGATATAATTTCTGTTATTTTGATTCTACATATGACAATGTCATAATCACTATTGGTTAGCATATTTGAAAATTCTATATCTGCATTGATTAAGTTTCAACTGTTGTTAGGTAATATTCAGATATAGTTAATTCAAGATTGTATAGTATACATGTTTGTCCAAATAAACCAGGTTCTGTTTGGCTATGTTTCTTAGAAGATGTCGATATGGTCTAGTTGGATAAGTGTCTGAAGTATGTGGGCTGTTGGTCTTTGACTATTACTTGCTGGTCTTTTGTCAATCTTTGAATTGTGGAGGGCATTGAAATCTCCTGTGATTATGTACCAGTTTTTATAATATCTGGTTCAGATTTTGTCTTGGATCCATTTTGTTATAGAGTGATATTCTGAATTGTCTTTACTTGGTATATATAATTTGATTATACTAATATGTTTGTGATTTTTATAATTGAAGTCTATGTATAAACTTTTTTCTTGATATGTATCAATGTTGCCAATATGATTTGCAATGTCTTCTTTGACCATTACCACCTTTTTTCCCATTGCTCCATATGGTATGGTATTCTTGTATTTTTCAATGTTTGGATATATCTAATATAACTTGTATCTCTGTGATTATTGCAATATCAATCTTCTTTTCTTTGCAATATGTTAGCCATATTGCTTTTTTGGTGGGGTCATTGAACCCTCTGACATTGTGTATTACTATTTTCAAAACCTTCCATGATTGTGTTTCTGGTTTGTGTATTTGTGGATTGCTGTGTTTATTTCTTTGTGATGTGTTGCAGGTAAAGATGAGTTCCTAAATTATTTGTAAGAACATAATTCAAATGTCTTTTATTATTAAAAATTTTCATTTTTATATTAAGAAATAAAAAAAAACTACCTACAAAGATTCTTTATAGTTTTAAGCATCTATACAAATTATTTCTGGAATTATGTTCCTATTGAAATAAAGAGCTAGAAATTATGTTCTCTAGGGGACATGGATGTAAAGGAATGTAAATTTTATATGCTAAATACTTTAGGGACCCATCTTTAGTTGCAGGTATGGTGTTGTATATAGTGCATTTTGTGGTTTTTTTGATATTTTTAAGTTCTTGTCTGGTATTCTTGAGATGTAATATTGTTATTGTTGTTGTTAGTAATATCTATATCTGCTGTAAAGTTTGTGTCTAGTGTGTTGTATTCATATATTTCTTCAGGTAGTTGTATATCTTCTTTCAGATAATTGTCTATCAAATTGTAAATGTTTGACAAATTGTCATTGATCTCTTGTGCCTCTGCGCTAGTACTTGGATTATTTTTCATTAATTAAGATTGGTCATAATATTTGTGTCTCCTGGAATTAGATTGTGGATGGTGTTCATAAGGTTGTTTATCATTTGATTAGTATTTTGGATAGTTATGTGAATCTGTTTCTATTGAGCTTGGAGGTCTTGGATTTCATTTTTGTTGTTTGATTTGTTTCTTTGTGTACCTTCTATAGAGTTGACATCTGTACTTTGATCTGGGGTGGCTTCTGTCTCTTCCATAGCACTTACACTATCTTTATTATAGTATTCAAGATTTGTGATTCTTTTATCCATATCTGTTAGTTGTTCTTTAATTTCTTTAATGTCTTGCTGAAGTTGTTTGAGAATATTCACAACTTGTTACAAGTTGTTTGAATCTTGTATTTTTTGTGTCACAGGTGCTTCTGATTTTCTGAGGGCTGCTGCATATAATTCAGGCTTGCTACTTTTTTTTCCTTTTACAATTGTATTCATAGTTCTTCTGATATTTATTGTTTTCACTGGTTTGAATTTCTAATATAATTTTTCAAACTTGTCTGCTTGTTCTTTATTGTATTCCTTCCACTGTTGTCATCTTCATTTGCTTGGACAGTCGATTGCTAAATGTATATGTGCATTACATATGGCTCAGATCTTTGTATTGATCTGGGTCCACATGATTTGTATCTCACCCAAGACAAAGTCTTGTGCAATTGCCTTCTCTAAACATTGTTGACTTTTGAAGCTAATGATTGCTACTTTTTTCTGATGATAGCTATCTGTTCTGAGGATGTAACAGGTTTTGGCTTTAATTTGTTGGCAGATAATACGCAGGTCGAATGCTATTGTGTTTGGGAAAAGATTGACCAATTTGGTAGCAATATTGCCCCTGGCTTTTATTTTCTCAAGGCTCTATTGTTTATTGAAGATTCTGACTGAATCTGTTTTGAAAGGGGTGCTTTACATATTAACTAGTTTCTTATTAATACTTTTTTCTTGAAAAGTGACTATGGCTGTTTGCCACATGCATTAAGTACTCATACTGATGTCAGTAATCTGTCTGAATTTGATAAAGGTTTGTTGTACATCTATGAGTTTGGTATTCAGGGGAATATCCCATACTCTGATACTATTTTCCTTATTTGTGTAGGGATTGGTGTCTAGCATATGTTCCATATACTTGTTTTCCAAATCTGGTAATTTAATTGTGCTTGCCTTTTCTGCAGATTGCTGATCTCCGAAAATGGCTACAATCGACTCTTTATCTTTTTTTTCCTCTTTGTGAATTGCAAGAAGGCCTTCAGGTGCTTCTAGAGCTTTGATAATATATTGTATTTTCTGCCAGAAGGTAGTGCCAAGGACTTCTTCCACTGGAATTTCAATTTTGCTTTTTTGTCTGCTATACCTTATCATGCAATTAAAAAAGGAGCAGAGTCTAAACTTGTTACTTGTTCTTTTCACTTTTCACTTCCCTTTATTAACTGTTTGCCATTTATTTTCAGTTGTGATTTTTTGAATCTAATGTATATATGTTTTTGTCACTATCATTGATACAAGCATATTCTCCAAAGGATGGTATTTGATATCTCTCCAAGAATTGCTGTTCACTGTTTTGTTGTAACTTTTTATATGTTTCCTCTTTCATGTGGGTCTTCATACTGATGGATGTTTCTCTTATTTCTTCTTCCATCATTTGGCTCTATATGTTTCTGTAACCTACTTTATCACTTTGTACTGTTACTGTTGCTTGTTTCTGCTGGACTGCAATCTTGGATGGTGGTGTCAGAATTTGGAACATTGTTTTTATTTCAGTTTTTTCTTGTTTCTTGCTGGGTTTTTGAACTGAGTATAGTGTAGTATCTCTGCTTTTTATATTGTTTCTTTTCTTGGACATGTCTTCTAGGTTGTAGTTAGGCCTGATGGTCAGGTTGAAGCTTCTAAGACTCCTGTTTACACTCATTTTATTTTCACTTTTGTGTATTCTTTTATGATAACTGTATGTATTTGAAAAAGAGTATATTTAATTTTTTTTTTGTTTATATATATGAATATAGAAAATTAAAATCTATTATCAATTATAATTTTTAAAATTATATAGTATTATTAATTATTACCATTATAATAATAATAACAAAATTATTATATTGTTATAATTATAATAGTTCTATTTTAAATTATTTTATTTTATTATTATTTTATTATTATTATTATTATTATTACTATTTTTATTTTATAGTTAGCATATATGTTATAACCAGTATATTAGTCATATATAACATATAAGGTAAATTATATAGTTATAGTGAATCATGTGAATATGGCATTTTTGCCAGGTATGGCTAATATGAAAGATTAAGCAGATCCAGCAGACATAGCAATACTGGCATATCTATACTATTGTTTACATTATTTTCTTATGATTTAAAGATGTATAAATAAAACAGCTGTTCTTTTCAACTGGCCAAGAAATTTTCTTAACTCTTTTCAACTTTTTAATAAAAACTAATTAAATTCTAAACCCAAATCATCATGCCTCTTTGCCTTATAGTAGATAAATCTTGTCAAATTCCTCACTCCTATTAACTCTTGTATATTACAACTAAGGTTATTTCCTTCTAACTTAAGTAATTCCCTGCTACAGTTGTCTGTTAATTTATTTAATTTTAAAATTTATTAGATAAATTGACAAATTGGTGATAACTGTGAGATACATCACTCTATGAATTGAAAAACTATATGAAAGAAACTGAATCATTGCTTAATATTGAAGATATTTATTGTTAAGAGTTAGAACAGTAAGTCAGAATCCAAAGTCTATCAAAGAATTTAAGTATTTTATTTTATAAGTAGTTTTAAAACATATTTTATTACTAATCAATTACATGACAAGTTTTATAAGCTATTTCAAAATAGTAATATAAATCAATAACATTCATTCTATTCAGATAATTCTTGTGAACTTGCTATCCCCCTGAAAAACCAATCACTACTTTCTTAATCTTCTGGTATTGGATTCAAGTTGAATTTTCTGTTATTGCTTACATATTCAAAATTCAGAAATATTTCCAATGATTACTTTCTTGTTCTTTTATTAATCAAAACTATATTATTAAACAACTTATCTTTTTTATAAGATATACCCAATCCCTTTCCTTCAATAAAGTTCTTATTATCTTTTTTCAAGCCCTAATAAAATTTGAATACTTTACAATTGATTCTCTCCAAAACCCTTCTGAATTATCTGATTTATTACTATATCTTTTAAGTTACCTGACCCCACCCACCTCTCCATCTTTTAAATATCAAAGAAATTTTTTATTCACAAATGATTTTTTGGATTTGGAACTTCTTTTTGAAAATCTGACAATATGACTACTTCTCAAAATATCCTTAACTATTTCAAGGTCAACACCTATCAAAATATTATTGGAATTGAACCATTTAATGGAGATAGTACTTAAGATCTGATTACCTGGCTCTCAGCCTTTGAAAAAGTTACAAAAGTCAACAATTAGGAAAATGAAAGCTCCTACGAATGCTTAATAGATACTTATAGAATAAAGCAGAAAATAGTGAATCACTTATTATAATAAGAACCATGCAGACAATGATACAATGAAATGGGACAATATCAGAAAAGCTTTTAGAAAAGAATTTTGCACTCAATGATAAATCAACAAATGAATCAGAGACTTGGAACAAAGAAAACAAGGATCTACTGAACCTGTTAATTTCTATTATGCTATATTCAAGAAATTAATAAAATGAGCAAACCTGTATAAAGAAATGAGTGACTATCAAAAGCTTCAATATTTTATCAAAGACTATTACCCCACTTGGCTTTTATTATTTCTATGAATAATCCAACAAGCATTCAAAAAGCAGTTGGATATGCTCAAGCATATAAAGCAGAACAAGATATGAACAATTCTAAAGAACCACCAGTACAATCTATATGATACAATATTATTAAGAATACTGAGGATCCAATGGATCAATTAATTAAGAAATTTGAGAAAATGCAATTGAATTTGGCTAAATAAATTGAACTTTTTTTAGCACAAGTAAAAAAACAAGTAAAATAACCTACACAGTTCTTATTCAATCAAAAGAAAACTATTACCTGTTTCTGATATGGAGAATCTGGACATATAGTATATGACTGTTTATCAGAAAGAATCCAATCAAAACCCATGAAACCAAAGAAGCTGATTAATTATTTGGCTGTGGAAGCAACCTTATCATTAGAGGATGAAGAAAATGAAATCCATATGGGACAATGAGGAAGACTACTCTATTTGACCAATCATAAAGAAGCTAAAAAAAACAAAAACAATTAGAATTACAGAAAAAACTAAATCTGCAAACAAAAAAAGTAATACCTGAAACTAAAGATGGGTTCCTAAAGTATTTAGCATATAAAATTTACATCCTTTTGTGCTATATCCCCTAGAGGACATAATTCTTAGCTCTTTATTTCAATAGAAACATAATTTCAGAAATGATTTATATAGATGCTTAAAACTATAAAGAACCTTTGTAGATAGTTTTTTTTATTTCTTAATATAGAAATAAAAATTTTTAATAATAATAGACATTTGAATTATGTCCTCACAAATAATTTAGGAACTTATCTTTACCTGAAACCCAACCAATGGAAATTGAAGAATCAGGATCTAAAAAAGAAATAGTACAACCAAATGACTGAAAATGAAATCTCAACCTTCTGTAATAGACCAATTACCACTGTATGATATTGCTAATGATATTTTGAAACTAAAAGCTTTTGCAACATTGGAACAAATGCTACAATACTCCAATCAATGGAAAAATCTGATGAAAATCCTGAAACATTTTAAGCAAGCAGTAGAAAACAATTATATATCTGATAAAGATCACTATATAACCACTGCTGTGAAATGTTATATTTGAATCAAGAGTATCTAGTAATTGCAATTCTGGATTCTGGAGCTGCCATAAGTATTATTACTAAGAAACTCATGAATAGACTTGGATTGGAACCATATACACCTTTCAAAACAATAGTAATTATAGCCAATAGAAATCATAAATAAGTATTGGGACAAATCACAAACTTAAAGATTGTTATTCAAGATATTATTGTATCAGTAAAGCTACAAGTCATCGAATCATATAAAGAAACTCTCCTATCGGGAATAGACTGGTTAAAATATATGAAAACCAAATGGAATTTCAATCAATGAATTTTACAAATCTTATATCAAGGAAGGAAAATAAAAATTAAAACTATATACCTGGCAAATATTTCTTTTCAATTATCAAGTGACAAAAAGCAAAATGATGATCAGTTATTAGAGAAAATCAAATATGAAACATAAAAATGATCTTGAAGAATAGGAAACCTATATTTCTAATCTAATTTTGAAAAGTAAGGATAAAATCCTGCAGTCTTTCTGACCGACATAACTGAAACTAAGGAAGTATCCAAGATAACACAAGGAGTATTAACTGAGGAACAACAAAAACAAGTATAAATTTATATTGAATAACAATAAGGATATCTTTGCAAATAATATTTCAAAAAAAGAACAAACAAGTGATCTGAAAAAAACAATAGTAGTTACACATTGTATCAACACTGGAGATACCATTCCAATTAAACAATAATCATATAAAATATCTTCCAACCAACAAGAATTTATTAAAAAAAAGATAGAGAAAATGCCAAAGTGAGGAATTATCAGCCCTATTACTAGTTCATGATCTTCACCTGTAGTTATTGTATCAAAGAAAAATAACAGATTTCATTTTTGTATAGACTATAAAAAGCTAAATTCAGTAACTATCAAGAATATCTATCCAATGCCAATCATGAATAACTTATTGGAAACCTTCAATAGAGTGCAATAGTTCACATGTCTAGATTTAGCTAGTGGATATTAGCAAGTGGCAATAAATGATTAGAACAAAAGCAAAACAGCATTTGTTATTAAATATAGATTATATGAATTTAATGTCATGCCCTTTGGCCTATGCAATATACTAGCCATATTTTAATAACCAATAGACAAAATTCTGGCTCCTTATTTAGACAAATTTATGAAAGTATATTTGAACAATATTACTATTTTCTCAAAAATATTTGATCTACATTGCCAACATGTGACAATTATTTTGGATGTTCTAAGACAAGCAAATCTGAAGATTAATGCTAAAAAATAATATTCATTCTGGCAAATGTTAAATGTACTTCACTCGTTTCGATATATAATATTATGTAGTATGTAGTATGGCCATTTTATTTAGCAGCGTTCCAAATTTTGGAGATTTCGGTATTACATAATGAAACATTACATCA